GGCTGTCTGGACATGAAGAAGCAGGGACAAAGCCACTGACTGTTTAGCAGGACCACACAGGTTCCACTGTGGCCAAGTCCCCAAGGGCGCCTCTCCTGGGGCAGCCTGCAGCCCTCCAGGGCCTGGCAATGAGAAGCTCCCTTAGCAATGTCCAGAGCTACAACTGTCTTGACAATGGCTGGACAGCCTGCTGAGGCCCCAACTGAAATTCTTGGGGGCACCCAGGCTCCTTGGAGCCCAGCAGAGCCCCAGGGGAAGCTGTGCCCCTCAGCCCCCTGCAGGTGATTCGTAGTGAAGGAGGCATGGAGCTGGGCTGCACCATCTCTTCAATTTCCCAGCTCGGATCCATGAGGCATCAGAATCAGGCACTGCCAAGGAGCTTGCAGAATCTGCCTCACTGGAGATTGGATTCTGGGATTAGTTCTCTCCTTCAATCTTTATCCTATCCCATTTCACTCTTTGGGTCCTGTCTTTTTAGTTTCAGTGTCCTTCAATTTTAAAAACATCCTCTTTCATTTGTTTTTCTCCCTATTCCTCAAACACCACTATTAAGTCATTGGGCATTACAGGTTCTGCCAGGGAGGACTGACAGCTGGGTTCAGGACCTTCCAGTGTAAGGCAGACAACTGTGACCAAAACTGGTTCATGGAGACACTGGCTATTTCCACTGACATGCCACACTTGGGCCCTGCCTGGTGGCCTGTGGACAATAAAACCTGGCCTTAAGGAGCCTTCAGCCTTCAACTGGGTTATTTGTGCCTAGTGTGCTGTAAGGTTAGGGCTGACAGACAAAAGTACAAAGATCTTGGGTGTTGAGGGAAGTTAAGAAGAAGCCATTTTACACTTACTAGGGGGGCTATAATCCAGAAACAAGATAACAAGTGTTAGTGAAGACGTGGAGAAACTGGAACTGCCATACAATGCTGGTGGGAATACAAAATGGTACAACCTCTGTGAATAGTTTGGCAGCTCTTCAAAAATATAAACACAAAATTACCATAGGATCTGGCAATCCTACTGCTAGGTAGATCCTGAAAAAAATTGAAGGCAGGGATATTTGCACATCAATGTTCATAGCAGCATTATTCACAACAGCCAAAAGGTAGAAGCAACCCATGTGTGCATTGATGGATGAATGGATAAGTAAACTGTGGTATATCCATACCATGACATATTATTTAGTCATCAAAAGAAAGGAAATTTTTATATATGCTACAGCATGGATAGACTTTTTGAAAACATCGTACTAGGCTAAATACACCAGACACAGAAGGACAAATACTGCATATTCCATTTATAAGAGAAACCTAAAATAATGAAATTCATAGAGACAAAGTAGATTAGAGGTTATCTGGGGATGGGGACAGAATTTGTACTGGGGATGATGAGACAGTGGTGATGGTTACACAATATTGTGAATGCACTTAATGTCACCAAATTGAATGCTGACAAATGGTTAAAATGATAAAAAATAAGTTATGCATATTTTGCCATAATAATAAAAATGAATGGCATAAAGCAGCCAGTGTGGTGAGGGGGAGCTGGGAGGAAGTTCTCCTGTGATAAGTGGGAGGGTGAGGAGGGCAGAGGCAGCCATCAGAATGTCAGTGCTGAAAGGCACCAGACTTGCTTTGAGGAGGGCAAAGGGACACCATGTGTGGAGACGAGGCTGAGAAATAGGACTGAACGCTGAGCGTGAGTGTGAGTCCATGCCACATGTGATGTCGGGAGAGGGCGTGAGTTATGCAGGTCACCAGGTAGAAGTGAGGAAGGTCCGTAGAGAGCCTGAAATCCTGATCTTACTCTGCAGATAACAAAACAAGACCCAGAGACTTTCCCAGGGTTTGGAAGGAAAATAAAAAGGAGGATGAGTCTTTGGCCATCCCATAGGGGATTCAATTTCAGCCAAATGGCATTCCACCCAGACCCTTCCCAATATTAGTTTCAAATGAAGTTCTGGGGAGGAGCTGATGGAGGACAATGGAGATGAGCTAAAAGGGAGCGCTGGCCTGGAGGGCGTGCTGATCAGGGTCTGCAAGTGTTTTTGTCCAGCCTGTCCAGTTTCCATCTCCTGCCACCTCCCTAGTCCTTCTAGGGCATCAATCGCCCCATCACCCCTGTTCCAAATGGAGCCTTGGAGACCTGCAGTGGTGGCGTGCTCTGTCCCTGTGGATGGGAGCGCAGGGGGAGAAATAGCCTGGAGCTGCTCACCGGAACAGCTTGACACCAAGAACGAGGAGCTCGGTCCAGATATGAGGGTTTGGAGAAAGCTTGCTAGAGGACAGGCAGTATTCTCAGAGCTGCAGGTGGAGGACAGGACTCTTAGCATCCATAATGCCCTTGGAGCTGGAATTTTGACTAGATTCTCTTTCATGGTGTCCAGTGGCTTGTCTTTGTCTCTCTCCTCCTCACACTTGCCTTCTTTCTCCACCTGCTCCTGTCTCTTCAGTCCTCCCTACAGGAAGCCCCAGGCAGTGTTTCTGAGGCAGGTGGCCATGGATGGATTCCAGCCATATTCAAAGCCACTAGCCCTGTTTTCTCAGGTGAGCCAGACGCGTTCTATTCCACCATTTGATCTTTATGCTGCTCATGCATCTTGTTACAAATAGCTCAACCTTCCCTGTGTTGACTGCAGCACTAGGACATTACAGTAATGTGCCCATTCAAATCAAGTGGATGCAAAGATCGCTACAGCAGCTTTTAGCCACGGAACATTTAGCCTTCAATAATAGTATTTCGGGTCCCTCAGGGACATTCCTCTGCTGATGCACCTGGGATGCCTTTTTCCTCCTCCCCACCACAACGCCCAGAACTAAGGAGGGACAAAAATGACTTTTGTTGATGAGGAAACAGAAATTCAAGTAAGGGAACATCATGCAGAAAATAAGAGGGTTAGGCCTGATAGGACCACGATGATCATGATAACAACAACAATAATTTTGTGCACTTCTGTGCTGCTTACTGAGTGAAGCGGGTTACTTGCATTGGGGTAGGTTTTACACCCCCAATTTCTGGATGAGGTGAGGCTGAGGGGGTCAGTAGCTGTCCTAGGCACAAGGAGAATGCCACCTTACAGTTTGTTCACCAGTTCTTCCCAAAGCCTATGCTTGTGATCTGACAAGGAAAGCAACTCAGGGCTGGCTCCATGAACATTCTAAAATCAGAGAGGCTTCCTTTCCCTGCTGCCTCCAAGGCCCCATGCTAGGACCCTCCAGCTGGTGCTGTCCGGGGACCTCTTCCCCGGTCCCTCCCGCTTTCCTCGAGCAGTATTCCCCTCACCCCCCTCCTGCTCCAGCCCCAGCCAGTGTCCCTGGTGGATTTTCACTGAATATGTTGCCCCCACCACCAACAGCATTTTTATTTGCACATCCTTGGGGATGCCTTGCCTGAGGGAAGGAGTCCGTGGGATTGTCCAGAGATGAGAGGGAAATATTGCACAGTGGGAGTCCCAGCAGGGGCGAGGAGCAGGGGAGATGGCCGGAGGCTCTGTCTCCACCCTCGTCTTACCACTGCCAGTTTCCAGGGAAAGCCAACCCAGCCAGAGCAGGGCAGTGGCACTACTGCTTGCTAATGCTGTAGCATATCTGGTACTTCAGTGAATTTTCCAGGACATGAGAGGCCCATGTAATAGGTCAGGAAACTGAGCCACAGAGAGGACATGTGACTTAGCACAAGGGAAAAGAGTGGTTGAAATGGAACCAGATTCCAGGAGGCCTCATTCCCAGTCCTGTACTCTTCCTGCGGAGACACCATGCTTTGAACCAAGCTCAAAGTTGCCAAAGTGAACATTTTAAAACTTCTCCCAGGGCTCAAGAGATGGCCGAGTGAAATCTCCAGACACTGCGGCTCCCACAGACTCCTTAATGGGCCCTTCACTTCATGGGCACAGTTTGGTGGTTGGGGTGAGAGGAGCTTCGTGGAGAGGACAAAGGATGGGGAAGGAGCCTAAATCCCAAATGTAACTATTTTGACCTAAATCCCAAATGCAAGGATTTTGTCCTAAATCCCAAATGCAAGGATCCCCTCCCTTTCCTCACAGAGTTCAGGCGGCCCCTCTTCCTTCTCCCAGGTTCTATACCCTCCTGTCTGAGTCAGAGCACCCTGGAAAGGGAAAGTCCTCTGGATGCGTTAGCGGCGGCAGGCTTTACTAAGCCGGCTTCTCTGGTGGGTGCGCGCGGCTGCGGGTTCCAAGCTCGGACTCTGTGCCGGCCCGGGCTCGTGCTTCCTCGTTCTAGCAGCAGAGGGCGCGCCTGTCCTTGGAGAAGGAACCGCGCGGCCGCAGCCCCTTCCTCGCCAACTGCTGGCTGCCTGGGGACCGGCGCGGGAAGCCGGGAACAGTGGCTTTGCGGAGGGCGACCCAGGTGGACAAAAGAGCTCGGCACACCGTGTGTCCCCAGGCCCGCTTCCTCCGTGCGCCCCTGTCATCTGCTCCATCTCCGGGAAGCAAAGGGACTTGGAGTGTGGCACAAAGAGCAGAGACGCAGCGGCCGGGTCACCAGGATGGTGTCCTCACCTGAGGCCAGGCCACACCTAGGCCTCCCCACACGCTGTTCCTATAGGAGTGCCACCAGAACTCACTCCAAAAAGGAATGGACGGCGAGGGTTTGTAAATGGGACAGCACTCTGGGAGTGCAAAGCCTGGGACCGGTCCCGGTGGCAAATTGGCCAGTCCTGGAGCCTCTATGTGCCCAGTTTCTGTATAATGCAAGGACGCTGAATGAGGACATGGTCCCTAAAACCCTTCCAGGGCCAGCATCTGGGATCTCATGCTTACATCATCTTGTCCTTCCTTTCCATGGACTCCGCCTGTTGGACAGAGTCCACTGACATGCACCTGCCTGAGCTGAGCGGGGAGGGGCCAAAGTTGTCCTCTGTGAAGTCACAGAGAGCCCGAGAGCAGCAGGGTCGGTCCTCCTGCCTCTCATCTCGCGTTCCTCCTGCTCACAGGAACCAGAATCCCTACCAAGTTTCCATCCTAGAGACAGTCGAGGTGACTCATTTCACCCCCTGGTGGGCTTGGTTGGCCACACTCATTGGGTGCGGCACCTCTGATGTGGGAGGCAGGGGTCGGTGGAGGGGAAGCACTTCCTCCACCGGGGGCCAGGTTGTGGGAAAGGCTGGGAAAACACACGCTCTGACGCAGGCTCTTCTGTGACCTACCTTGGGTACACGGGAGAAATCCTTCAGCATCCCTGAGCCTCCATTAGCCCGTCATGAAACGAGAGGTTAGAGATGGTGTCCACATCCCTTTACTGTTTTGATGTCTGCACTTGGTGAATCCCGGTCAAGCACACCTAACCACTGCCTCTCTGGAGAAGGAAAATGAAGGAGGAGGAGGTAGGGAGGAAAGAGAGACCATTTAGGAGGAGAGCAGAGTCAGAGGGGAAAAAGGGTGGATGGGAGGATGCAATGGGTGGGTTTGCACCTGCTCAGAGGTGGGCAGCTGAGCTTTGAGGAAGGTGCTTCCCTGCACTGCATGGCGTGGGATGCTGTGTGTAGGCGATGGGCAGGAAGTGGGGGTTCTGGTGAATTAGGAGGACATATCTTGATAGAAATCCAAGTGTGCTCTCAGTCCATCCATGTAGACAGGATATAACCTCTTAGGACATTCAGAAACTGAAAATAGAGCATGTATGGCTCTGGAAGCAAGGCTCTCTCTCTCTTTCTCTCTCTCTCTGTATGTATATGATGTGCAAATGCACATGCAATAGAAATACAAGCACCATGCAGACTGCATAGGTAGGCATCATCAATAAACATTTATTCAGCACCTACACTCAGAAACTCACGCACATTTACAAGCCAACATATCCTGCTATACACATGTACAAAAAAGATCACATTGACCCCTAAGGCAAAGAACCACTCGCTTGAAGAAGCTTCTCTTACAAGATATTAATAAAATACACAGGCACATTTTAACTTTAAAAACTCTGGAGAAGGAAAGAAGGAGGGTGAAGAGACGGGGCTGGAGGGTGGAATGGGTAAGGCAGGGCTAATCACAAAGTACTTAGCCCATGCATCTGGGCCTCTCTGTAAGCACCATATTTCACGATACCTTCAACCTGATTTTCCAACTCATTGAAAACACTTGCCAGCTGCTGCTGAGTGACTCCATTTACCGTTTACATGAGCTCGCTCTAACAGGGCCCCCTGGAAGGTAGTTCCTGAGGAGAGTTATGGGTGGAAATGGAGTTGGAGGCCCTAGATCTTGGAATTTTGATCGGGGAATGGGAGAAGGCAGAGTAGGGTCATCACCCAGGAGGGAGAGGGTGGGGCAGGCCAGGAGGGATGGTGGGAGGTTCTGGTAACTTCCACGGGCACATCTTGGATAGGAATTCTTTGTGGTGGGTAGTGTAAACTTTTTTCACCTCCATCACCCCACATGCAGACTCAAATATACAGACATGTGAAATGACATATGGGGATTTCATAGTACCTCACAGGATGGCTCCCAGGAGCTGGTCCTCTTGCAGATATGTTAGTTATCTGCCTCTGCATTGATGAGCAGAGTGTTCCCTTGCAGGACCCCATCTGTCGTAAACACCACCTCCATGGGTCTGCCATGATTCCCTCTGTTCTCTCCTCTCAATCACTGCAATGTGGGTCCCTAATGCTGCAGGCTGCTCCTCTCCCATTTCCCCCTCCTGTCCTGTCCCTTTTTTTCTGTCCTCCTCTGCCTGTGACAGAAGCTTCTGGAAGAAAAAGGAGGCTCTCCTATTAGCACATTTGTATGAATAGATGGGTTTGACAGGGTGCTGGCATGCTAAAATGATAGATAATCCTCCTGGGAGGAACTGAGACGCTGAGCAGCTACGTTGTGATTAGAAAGCACGGGGGAATTTCCAGGAAGGTGAAGGCTGGCTTTCCCTGGTGAGGCATCCAGGGACCTCGTCAGCCACAGGTCAGATACTGACCCCTTCGGCTGGTTAATCCGGTCCATTCCCATGGTAGCCTGTAATCAGTCCACAGTCTGGGATCAAAGTTTAGCAAGTCCTCCATGTTTTTCCCACACAGACAGGGGCCTGAGGACCCCCACCCCACTATTAGAGACCCCTCAATCTTTGCCTTCAACTCCAAAGCCAGACCCAGATCTGTACGGGCTGAGAGAAAATCTTCAGGGAAACCTTTTGCCTTTGTAGCCATGCCAGTCACAACCCCAGGCTGTGGCGCTGGGCTTCTCCCAGTCTGGTTATGTGGGGATCTCATCATCAGAACTCATCTGTATTACCCCGATTAGGTGACTCTGGATCAGCCAGGTGGCATGGAGGAGGCCTGCTCTTTCCCCGCTCCCTCCCTGGGGCACCTGCCTTCAAGGTCTGCTCTGCTGTCAGCCCCTCCTCCTTGCTCCTAAGCTCCACAACTTCACTTAATCAGCTTCCTCCACTGCCTCTCATTTCCAGCAGGGTGTGGCTGTGCTGGGAAAGAGACTTGGCCTGCAGCCACACAGTGATTCAGAAGACGCTGAGTGAGGACCTCTGTGTCCCTGCTCCAAGGACTCGGAGATGACCCGTCCCAGGACACTCAATCCTGCCTGCAGATGCTAGGCTCTAAGGAGATGCCTGCTATAGCACCAGCACATTCTGCAGAAATGTTTTGAAATGCGTTAATAAATAACTGGAGAACAGTATCTATACAATTACCTAGATTTGCCTGAACTTTGCAGGGCAACTAAACAAACAGACATATTATACGTTCGCAGAAAGGCCACAGTACAGAAGACAAACCGAGGCTTGGTTACCCTGAGGATCAGCAGCCGGATCTTTTTCTGAAACAAATTTCCTGCTAGAGAGTCCCTGATATCTGTGATGCAGTATTTCCCTAGTTTTTATTTCTACTTCAATGAGGCACCTCAATGTGAGTTTCCTTTGGGAAAAGAAAATCAAATGTCCCCACAGCTTTGTGCCCAGTTGTGAAGGACAATTTCAGCATTGATCACCTGTCTGGACTCTTGTGGGGAGGAGGCCAGTGGGCCTAGTAAGACCCTTAGCACACTTGGGTCTGCCTTAGAGGAAACCAGACCTGCCAGGAAAGCCGGAAAGCTATGAAGAGATTTTTCTCTGCCTTCCTTGGGGGACAGTCTTCCAGAGCAACAATGCACCATGCATTGACAGAAAACTCATTATGTTCAAGGTGCTGGGAGAAGCTAGTTGCAGATACTTAGAGCAGTAAGTCTTTAAGTTAGACGTAAGGAAGGACTTCCAGCTATTGGTATTGATATAGTGGGACCCAAGCTTGCTTCACAGCTTGCAGCATCAGGGAAGGATGAGATCATTCTTGAGAACATTTTGAATAAAGGCTTAGAGGGACTGAATATTTAACGATCCCGTTAACATTTCTCCCTGTCTTCCTCCTGCTTTCCAGGATGATACCGATGTATGATTTTTACTTAAGGCCCCCCGCCATTCTCACAGACACACCTGGAGCCTGGCAGGCCTTGGCATCAGTGGCTGTTGTCATGGCGGGGAGAGCTGAGGTGACCTCTGTGACTGCTCTGGGCACAAGGACTGTGGTTCTGTGAATCCTCCCTAAGCCCGCTGGTGGGGCCCCTTTGCTGCCACTTCAAGTCAGGTTTCCCGGCTCAAGTAAATTCTGAAGCGGATTGACCTAATTTCCAGAGTCTAAAGGGTGACAAAAAGCCCCAGTCAAAACTCCTGTAAGTGGGTGATAAACAGTCTCTGTTAGAAATAATAACATCTCCAAAGGCGAGCAGGCTTCCTAAGACTCCCTTGCCTTTCAGAGAGACAGCTCTCTCCTGGGAGGGGACTCCCTGAGCCTCCCGCTTTGGCCACTCCAGAGGAAAGGTCTGCCTTGCTGTCTCCCTGCCGCGCTAGCTGCTCACCATTTTCACGGACCACCACAGCCTCCTGATGGACCCCACAGCAGGCAGAGGCTGTGGGAGAGGTCTCCACCCTGCAGGGCGGGGCTGACAGTGGTGCTTGGCCTTTAGAGTTGAAACATGTTGGTTCTCTGCCTTGGGAGGAAAAACCACTCCGTCTCGCTCTGTCTCTCTCTGTTTCCGTCTCTGTCTCTCTCTCAGACACACATACACATACACTGAGACAGCTGTCATCATACCAAATTTACATGTTATGGAAACCGAGGCCCAGAGAGGTTAAATAACTTGCATGGTTTTGTCCAGCTAATAAGTGGGCAAAGCTAGAATTAGAATTGAAGCCCAGCGACAGCTTTCAAACCAGGTTCTCTTTCCCCTACTCTGGTGCTGCAGCGACTTTAGTAAGCATAAGAAGTACTTGTGGATCTTGTTCAAATGCAGGTTCTGTAGGTCTAGGGTGGGGTGGAGATTCTGCATTTGCAGTAAGTTCCCAAGTAGCAGGGTGTGCTACAAACACCCCAGAGCTGCAGACCCTGGGGAGTGCTGCCCATAGGATGGGAGGCAGCAATCATTCTGGAAAACGGGGAGACATAAAGACCAAGACAAGCTTAGGTCTCCAAGGAGGCAGGGAGGTCAGGAGTGGGAGGAAAGGGCAGTCTGTCCTTCTCTTTCCTTAGAAGACTTCGTGGTTTGAACTTTGCCTCGGTCAGATTTCCTGATATGGGTACAACTTGTGCTGACCTCAGTGGGCATCTGGAGCCAGAAATGACCAGGAATAGGGGGAGACAACATCCGCCAAGTTCCATTCCTGGTTCAAAATTCTAACTTGCCAGCTTGTTCATTCATCTAATGACTCAGACTTGATGGCAGATTGAATTTTCCAAAAATGACTGCAACACTATCTTCCATCCCACACGTTATTCTTATAGTGGGACTTTCTATCTAGAGGTAGGACCTGTATTTCTTCCCCATGAATCTGAGTGGATGTGCAGTTATAGCTGAAGTGATGCTATGAGACTTCAGAGACTAGGTCATAAAAGGCAATACATTAGGCTGGGCATGATGGCTCGTGCCTATAATCCCAGCACTTTGGGAGGCTGAGACGGGTGGATCATCTGAGGTTGGGAGTTCAAGACCAGACTGACCAACATGGAGAAACCCTGTCTCTACTCAAAATACAAAATTAGCCGGGCGTGGTGGCACATGCCTGTAATCCCAGCCACTCAGGAGGCTAAGACAGGAGAATCACTTGAACCCGGGAGGCGGAAGTTGCTGTGAGCTGAGATCATGCCATTGCACTCCAGCCTGGGCAACAAGAGCAAAGCTCCGTCTCAGTAAATAAATAAATAAATAAATAAATAAATAAATGGCAATACATTTTCCACTTGGCTCTGTTGGGACACTTGTTCTTGGAATCCAGCCACCATGTTATGAGGAAGCCCAAGCAATCACATGGAGAGGCCATGTGGAGGTGTTGTAGCCAACAGCCCCAGGTGATGCCTCAGCCAACAGCCAGGTGTATCAGTGAATAGGTCTTTGGATGATTCCAGTAGGTAGTCACTGAGTCACCCCAGCCTTTGACTCTTTCCAGCTGAGCCCTCAGACATTGTGGAGCAGAGAGAAGCAATTCTTGCCTTGTGCTGTGATATGGTTTGGCTCTGTGTCCCCACTCAAATCGCATCTCTGATTGTAATCCCCACGTGTTAAAGGAGGGACCTGGTGGGAGGTGATTGGATCATGGGGGTGATTTCCCTCATGCTGTTCTTATGATCGTGAGTGAGTTCTTCTGAGATCTGATGGCTTTATTAAGTGTTTGGCAGTTCCTCCTTCACTCTCTCCTTTTCCTGCCACTTTGTGAAGAAAGTACTTGCTTCTCCTTCACCTTCTGCCATGATTGTAAGTTTCCTGAGGCCTTCCCAGCCATGCAGAATTGTGAGTTAATTAAAGTTCTTTCCTTCATGGATTATCCTCTCAGATATTTCTTTATAGCAGTGTGAAAATAGACTAATACACCTTGTTCGAATTCTTGACCAGCAGAATCCTTGAGCATAAAAAAAAGGTTGTTTCAAATGCTGATGCATGGCTGGGCATGGTGGCTCATGCCTGTAATCCCAGAACTTCGGGAGGTCGAGGAGGGCGAATCACCTGAGGTCAGGACTTCGAGACCACCTGGCCAACATGGAGAAACCCTGTCTCTACTAAAAATACAAAAATCAACCAGGTGGTAGGCACCTGCAATCACAGCTACTTGGGAGGCCAAGGCAGGAGAATTGCTTGAACAGGGGAGGTGGAGGTTGCAGTGAGCCAAGATTATGCCACTGTACTCCAGCCTGGGCGACATAGCAAGGCTCTACCTCCAAAAGAAAAAAACTGCTGATGCATTTGTGGTGGTGTATGACACAGCACCAGTAACCCACGCTAGTCCCAAAGCAGGGACTGCCTGAGGTGGTGTGGGTGACAAGGCTCAGGAGGGATTTATAAACAGGTTGGAGAGTGGGTTAACTCCTGTGTTCATGTGCACTTTACACTTTCAAAGGTTCTTTTCCATACTATGGATGCCTCAACAATTCTCATTTTATGGATGGGAAAACCCTATTTTCAGACGATTTTCATGCTGAGGCTTATGAAGGTTAAGTCCTTGCCAAAGGTCACACAGGGGCTGAGGTTGCACCAGGATGACTCCTAGGTCTGACTCCAGAACCAAACCTCTTTCCATTAAAGCTGTGCTGCCTCAGCTCCTGGCCTTGCTCAGCCCTTGGCAAATAAAACGTCACTCACTGCCTGATGCAAAGCCACGGATGGCTGGAGCCCTCCCCTCGATATGATGAGTTTGAATTTTGTGCCTTTAGTACCTATCATGCAAGAAGAAAAATCTCAAGCGTTGTTTAATAAACAGAGTCAGAGGAAAGCCATAGAATAGGGCAGGTGTTATTTATCAAACTTAGGAAATAATTTAATCAGGAAAAATCAATCCTGGGGTTACTGTTTTCCAGGAGGGTGAGGATTAGTGTGAGGACTGAGCTCATCAGTGCTCCAGGATTTGAGAGGGGCTGCAGATGGGGAGCAGGTGTTGGGGTCTTTGAGCCTAGTTGGTATCAGGTATTTTTCCCATTTTCTTTGTATCTGCAGAATCTCTCCACGGACTCTGTGACTCAACACTTGTGGCTTTCAGGCTGCGGCCTTCATTACCTCCGAGTAAGGCGGCAGACTGGTGACCCCCAGCTCTCTGAGGCACCTTGTTCCTGCTGTGATTCCAAAGATGACTGTCAGGTGCTTGTGGACAAAGTGTCCCTGTCCAGTTTGCCTCTGGCCACAGCTCCCAGCCCTTCACGTATCCCACTCCTGGCTCCTGATGGTGTTTGAATCCTGATGCCATGATGTGACCCCACCTTCTTCCTAGCACAGAAGTCTTTGAGCAGAGCTGGTCGGAACCCATGCCACAGAGGCCGCCGTGGGAGGGTGCAGGGCCTGTGCTCTGGGTAGAGGAGTTTTATTCAGACTCCCTCTCTGGCAGGAATGCACCTCTCAAATTCCTGGCAGGATGGGACCGAAGTAGTCACCCTTTCCCTGAGTCTTATGTGGGGAATTCTCCCTTTCCTGGCATCCTATCTCTGGGTTTCTGATTAGAAGGGATACTTCTGTTTACCCCAAATTCTTCTGCCTCATGCCTTCTAGCTGGTATCACCAGCAACTGGACATGATGGGATGGTCATCTGTATGTGTCAGCTTGGTAAGGTTGCAATATTAGACACTAACCATGGTGTTTCGTAGATGTGGTTAACATCTACTGTCAGCTCACTTCA